AATCTAGCTAGTGGTCATTAATTTTATTTGTCATTTCAAATAACCAGCTTGTCTGGATTTTGTTGTTGTTGTTTTTATTGTTTGAGGTGGAGTTTTGCTGTTGTTGCCCAGGCTGGAGTGCAATGGCATGATCTTGGCTCACTGCAACCTCCACCTCCTGGGTACAAGTGATTCTTCTGCCTCAGCCTTTCAAGTAGCTGGGATTACAGGCATGCACCACCATGCCTGGCTAATTTTGTATTTTTTAGTAGAGATGGGGTTTCTCCATGTTGGTCAGGCTGGTCTCAAACTCTCGACCTCAGGTAATCTGCCTGCCTTGACCTCCCAAAGAGCTGGGATTATAGGCATGAGCCACCACACCCAGCCAGAACCAACTTTTCATTTTGTGGATCCTGTATATCATTCCATTTTGTCTTAGTCTCACTTAGCTCCGCTCATTCTTGTTATTTCTTTTCTTCTGCTAGATTTTGATTAGGGCAGATGGCCAGGAGAGCTGCAGAAAAGAGCGAGGCAGACTCTGCACCCAGGAGAGCTGCAGAAAAGAGCTGGGCAGGTCCTGCACCCAGGAGAGCTGCAGAAAAGAGCTGGGCAGGTCCTGCACCCAGGAGAGCTGCAGAAAAGAGCTGGGCAGACCCTGCACCCAAGAGAGCTGCAGAAAAGAGCGAGGCAGACCCTGCACCCAGGAGAGCTGCAGAAAAGAGCTGGGCAGACCCTGCACCCAGGAGAGCTGCAGAAAACAGCTGGGCAGGTCCTGCACCCAGGAGAGCTGCAGAAAAGAGCTGGGCAGACCCTGCACCCAGGAGAGCTGCAGAAAAGAGCTGGGCAGGTCCTGCACCCAGGAGAGCTGCAGAAAAGAGCTGGGCAGACCCTGCACCCAGGAGAGCTGCAGAAAAGAGCGAGGCAGACCCTGCACCCAGGAGAGCTGCAGAAAAGAGCGAGGCAGACCCTGCACCCAGGAGAGCTGCAGAAAAGAGCGAGGCAGGTCCTGCACCCAGGAGAGTTGCAGAAAAGAGCTGGGCAGAACCTGCACCCAGGAGAGCTGCAGAAAAGAGCTGGGCAGGTCCTGCACCCAGGAAAGCTGCAGAAAAGAGCGAGGCAGGTCCTGCACCCAGGAGAGCTGCAGAAAAGAGCTGGGCAGACCCTGCACCCAGGAGAGCTGCAGAAAAGAGCGAGGCAGACCCTGCACCCAGGAGAGCTGCAGAAAAGAGCTGGGCAGGTCCTGCACCCAGGAGAGCTGCAGAAAAGAGCGAGGCAGGTCCTGCACCCAGGAGAGTTGCAGAAAAGAGCGAGGCAGACCCTGCACCCAGGAGAGCTGCAGAAAAGAGCTGGGCAGGTCCTGCACCCAGGAGAGCTGCAGAAAAGAGCGAGGCAGGTCCTGCACCCAGGAGAGCTGCAGAAAAGAGCTGGGCAGACCCTGCACCCAGGAGAGCTGCAGAAAAGAGCTGGGCAGCCCCTGCACCCAGGAGAGCTGCAGAAAAGAGCTGGGCAGGTCCTGCACCCAGGACAGCTGCAGAAAAGAGCTGGGCAGACCCTGCACCCAGGAGAGCTGCAGAAAAGAGCGAGGCAGACCCTGCACCCAGGAGAGCTGCAGAAAAGAGCTGGGCAGACCCTGCACCCAAGAGAGCTGCAGAAAAGAGCGAGGCAGACCCTGCACCCAGGAGAGCTGCAGAAAAGAGCTGGGCAGCCCCTGCACCCAGGAGAGCTGCAGAAAAGAGCTGGGCAGGTCCTGCACCCAGGAGAGCTGCAGAAAAGAGCTGGGCAGACCCTGCACCCAGGAGAGCTGCAGAAAAGAGCTGGGCAGGTCCTGCACCCAGGAGAGCTGCAGAAAAGAGCTGGGCAGACCCTGCACCCAGGAGAGCTGCAGAAAAGAGCAAGGCAGACCCTGCACCCAGGAGAGCTGCAGAAAAGAGCTGGGCAGGTCCTGCACCCAGGAGAGCTGCAGAAAAGAGCGAGGCAGGTCCTGCACCCAGGAGAGTTGCAGAAAAGAGCTGGGCAGACCCTGCACCCAGGAGAGCTGCAGAAAAGAGCTGGGCAGGTCCTGCACCCAGGAGAGCTGCAGAAAAGAGCGAGGCAGGTCCTGCACCCAGGACAGCTGCAAAAAAGAGCTGGGCAGACCCTGCACCCAGGAGAGCTGCAGAAAAGAGCGAGGCAGACCCTGCACCCAGGAGAGCTGCAGAAAAGAGCTGGGCAGGTCCTGCACCCAGGAGAGCTGCAGAAAAGAGTGAGGCAGGTCCTGCACCCAGGAGAGTTGCAGAAAAGAGCTGGGCAGCCCCTGCACCCAGGAGAGCTGCAGAAAAGAGCTGGGCAGCCCCTGCACCCAGGAGAGCTGCAGAAAAGAGCTGGGCAGACCCTGCACCCAGGAGAGCTGCAGAAAAGAGCTGGGCAGATCCTGCACCCAGGAGAGCTGCAGAAAAGAGCTGGGCAGGTCCTGCACCCAGGAGAGCTGCAGAAAAGAGCTGGGCAGACCCTGCACCCAGGAGAGCTGCAGAAAAGAGCTGGGCAGATCCTGCACCCAGGAGAGCTGCAGAAAAGAGCTGGGCAGGTCCTGCACCCAGGACAGCTGCAGAAAAGAGCTGGGCAGGTCCTGCACCCAGGACAGCTGCAGAAAAGAGCGAGGCAGACCCTGCACCCAGGACAGCTGCAGAAAAGAGCTGGGCAGGTCCTGCACCCAGGAGAGCTGCAGAAAAGAGCTGGGCAGCCCCTGCACCCAGGAGAGCTGCAGAAAAGAGCTGGGCAGACCCTGCACCCAGGAGAGCTGCAGAAAAGAGCTGGGCAGATCCTGCACCCAGGAGAGCTGCAGAAAAGAGCTGGGCAGGTCCTGCACCCAGGAGAGCTGCAGAAAAGAGCTGGGCAGACCCTGCACCCAGGAGAGCTGCAGAAAAGAGTGAGGCAGACCCTGCACCCAGGAGAGCTGCAGAAAAGAGCTGGGCAGGTCCTGCACGCAGTACGGAAATGTTCTCACACTCAGATCCTTCTTGTTCTCTTTCCTTGAGGTGTGATATTAGGATGTTAATTTGAGATCTTTCTTTCTTTTTAATGTAGGCATTTAATTCTATAAAGTTTCGTCATAGCTCTGTTTTTGCTGTACCACAGAGGTTTGGTATGTTTTATCTCTACTTTCATTTGTTTCAAAGAATTTTTTTATTTCTGTCTCAATTTTGTTGTTTATCCAAGAATCATTCTTGAACAAGTTGTTTAGTTTCCATGTACATATGTAGTTTTGAAAGTTCCTCTGGATATTGATTTATAATTTTATTCCACTGTATTCTGAGAATACTTGATGTTTTATTTTTAATGTTGAGACTTGCTTCATGGCCAAGCATATGGTCGATTTTGGAGAATATTCCATGCTAGATGAGAATGTATATTCTGTGTTTACTGGGTAGGATGTTCTACAGTTATCTACTAGATTCATTTAGTCTATAGTCAAAGTCAAGTCCTGTGTTTCTTGATTTTTTGCCTCAATGATCTGTCCAGTGGTGTCAGTGAGGTGTTGAAGTCCCACTGTACTTGTATTGCTATCAACCTGTTTTCTTAGGTCTACTAGTATTTACTCTATGAGTCTGGATGCTCTGGTGTTGGGCACGTGTATGTTTAGGGTAGTTACATCTTCTTGTATTGAACCCTTTATCTTACATGATGCCCTTCTTTGTCTTTTTTTTTAACTGTTGTTGGTTTAAAGTCTGTTTCATCTGATATGAGCATGGCTATTCCCACTTGCTTTTGTTTTTCATTTGCATGACATATCTTTTTCCAGCTTTTAACTTTGAGTAGGAAGGCGTCTTTAGCCAGTAGGTGGGTCTCTTGTAGGCAGCAAATGATTGGGTCTTATTTTTTTAAGCGAATTTTCCGCTTTATCTTTTAAGTAGAGCACTTAAGCTATTTACATTCAATGTTAATGTTGGTATGTGAGGTTTTGTTCCTATCATGGTGTTGTTAGCTAGTTGTGTTGGAGTTTAAATTGTGAACTGCTTTATAGGATCTGTGAGCTTTGCACTCGTATGTCTGTCTATGCTGGTAGGTGTTGTCCTTTTGTCTCCATTTAGAACTCCTCTGAGTACTTCTTGTGGTCTGGTGGTGACAAATTCCCTTAGCGTTTGCTTGTCTGGAATTATTTCTCCTTCACTTATGAAGCTTAGCTAGGCAGTACTATAAAATTCTTGGCTGGCATTTTTTTTTTCACTAAGGAAGCTAAGAACTGGCCCCCAGTCTCTTCTGGCCTGTAGGGTTTCTGCTGAGAAGTCTGCTGTGCGTCTGATGGATTTTCCTTTGCAGGTGATTTGACCCATCTTTCTAGCTGCCCTTGACATTTTGTTTCTGGTGTTGACATCAGATAGTCTGATGACTATATGCCTTGCTGATGTTTGTCTTGTATAATATCTCACAGGTGTTCTCTGAATTTGTTGTCCTAGATGTCTATCTCTTTAGCAAGATTAGGGAAATTTTCCTGAATTATTTCCTCAAATATGTTTTCCAGGTTGCTTACTTTTTCTTCTCTTTCAGAAATGTAGGCTTGGTCACTTTACATAATCTCGGACAAGGACTTTGTTCATTATAATTCTTTTTCTTTATTTTTATCTGACTGAGTTAATTCAAAGGACTGGTCTTCAAGCTCAGATCTTCTTCCTTCTGCTTGGTCTAGTCTATGTTAAAAAGCTTCCAGCTGTACTTTGAAATTCCTAAAATGAACTTTTCTTTTCTAGAAGTTCTGTTGGGTTTTTGTTTTTAAAACAGTTACCTTTCTTCCACTTCCTGGAAGGTTTCCATGGTTCATTTGTGTTGGTTTTCAACCTTCTCTGGGGTCTCATTGAGCATCCTTACAACCCATACTTTGACCCATTTATCTATCATTTTGGAGTTTTCATTTTGGTGGGGGCCACTGATAAAGAGCAAGTGTGATCCTTTGGCTACACATTCCTGTCTTTCATGGTGCAGAGTTCTTATGCTGCTTGCTTCTCATTTGGAGGAGCTTACACTCTTATTTTTGAATTTATTGTTATTCCAATTGTTTTTTATTCCTCTATTATTTCCCCCACCCTCAGGGTTGTGACTGCAGAGTGCCTGGGACAGGGTCTTTTGGCTTTCCTTCTGTAGCCCCCTGCACTTTGGCCAGAGCTGTGCAGTCTGACCCACAGGCCAGGGCGTGGTAGTAAAGGGCAAGAACCAGCTGCAGCACAAGTGGATGGGAATGAACCAGGCCTTTCTTTACTGTGAGGCACTCTGTTGTTTCAGGTGATGGGACAGTGGAGTGCCTGCTGCCCTGAACTATCTGTGGATGGTGGGCACAGTTAGGCAGAGCTGGACCCCCTAGCTTGCCCATGAATACCCCAAAGGCAAGCACAGGCACCTGGGGGACTACACCAGCTCTATGTCCTAGACAGGCAGGAATGCAGTCTGTGTCCCTATCATACCATGTGCCAGGGCTCATGGCTTTCAGTTCAGATGAACACCAGTGTCTGTCTCCAGGCCACAGTGGAGCGGAGACCATGGAAACGCCTGTCCCACAGCTCTCTGTGGGAGCCGTTTTGGGATATAACCTTGACTCAGCCCGATACAGACAGATTTGTGGCTCACCTGTTCCCCAGGGTGATAACTGCTACTCCTTTATCTAGAGATGTACAGACAGGTGGCAGGGGCCCTTCACTGTCACTGAAAGGTCTCTGCCTTTCAGCCTGTGTGGGCATGTTTCAGTTGCAGTGATGTCAGCTGGTTGGGTCAGAATACTGTGACCTATTGGGTCACAATAGGCTACATAATTCTCTAATTCCCAGGTCCCTAGACAGCCAGTGAATGGAGTGCTGAAGTGACTGGACAGGGATACGGCTGGCCCAGAGTTCAGGTGCTGGCTGTTACAGGGAGGGGTCGACTGGTCCCTGCTCGCCATCCAAACTCTTAGGTGGGAGCAGGCAGAACACTGAGAGCCTGAGAGCAGATAATAGGCCTGTGGGGGCTGGGCTGTCAGAAGGGCTCCAAGCTGCAGCTGAAAAGGTCAGGCGAGAGCAGAGGCTTGTGCTGTGGCCCTTCCACTAGGGAGGGCAGACCACTGAGCTGGTTCACTGGAGACTGGCAGCTGTGGAGTGTGTGGCCCGTCGCACTTCCCTCCCACAGAAGCAGTGCTAGATTTCGCTGTTTGGGGCCTGTGCAGGTGCCTGGCCTCCCTGCTCCTTCCCTGGGCCATGGGTGGCAGGGGTGGAGGCAGCAGTGGCAGTGACTACTGCATGACCCTCAGGGCTTATCAGTGTTTTCCAGGGGTTGGGATCTCAGGGAAACGCTGAGCTACAGGGTGGCTGTGCTGGTGCCCTGTTGCCAATGCAGGCATATGCAATTTGGCGGGGAGCAGCAGAAGTAGGGAGCCATGCAGTGCATAGTCTGCCTGCTCCTCCATACCACAGTTGCAGCATCTATCTCTGGGGCATGCGAAAGTGCCCAGCCTCCCTCTTTGGCATGGCAGCAGCAGCTGGCCTTAGGCTGTTCAGGGATCAAAGCCTGTGGGATTCCACACAGGTTTGAGTGATGCCTCTGTGCTATACTCTGTACTCATTATTTTGAGTTCTCTCTGGGAGAAAGGTCCCCAGTAGCTGCTCCTAGTCAGTCATCTTTAAGCACTTTATATTTTAAGGACATTAGCACTTTATCTGTAATGTATTTTGCAAATATTTTCTACTAGTTCATCAGTTATCTTTTGATTTGTTTATATTTTGCAATGCAAAAGGTTTTTTTCTGTTGTCAGATTTATCAAGCTTTTCTTTTATTTATTGAAAAGCCTTTTCCTACACCCAGCTATATTAGTTTGTTTTCACACTGCTATAAAGAACTGCCTGAGACTGAGTAATTTATAAAGAGTTTAATTGACTCACACTTCTGCATGGCTGGGAGGTCTCAGGAAGCTTACAATTAAGGCAAAGGGGAAGGGGAAGCAAGGTCCTTCTTCACGAGGCGGCAGGAGAGAGAGAAACAAAGGAACCACCAGACACTGTCACAAGCACATCTTGTGAGAACTCACTCACTGTCATGAGAACAGCATGGGAGAAAGTGCTCTCATGAGCCAGTCATCTCTCACCAGGTCCCTCCCTTGACATGTTTGGATGACAATTTGAGATGAGATTTGGGTGGGGACACAGCCAAACCATATCACCAAGTGTATTAGTGAAGGTCCTCTAGAGAAACAGAACCAATAGTTCCAATGGCTGTCTCTCTCATATATATTCCCTTTCTCTCTCTCTCTCTCTCTCTCTCTTTCTCTCTCTCTGTGTGTGTGTGTGTGTGTGTGTGTGTGTGTGTGTGTGTTCACATGGTTTTGGGGGTTGATAAGTTCAAAATCTGTAGGCCAGGTCAGTAGGTTGGAACCTCTTGGTCAGGAGTCGATGCTGTAGTCTTGAGGTAGAATTTCTTCTCCAGGAAACATTAATTTTGCTTTTAAGCCCTTTTAACTGATTGGATAAAATCCACCCCATTTTTGAGAGTGACCCTGATCTTCTTTACTTAGAGTCAGTTTACCGTTGACGTTAACCACATCTGCAAAGTACCTTCTCAACACATAGTGATACGGTTTGGCTCTGTTTTCCCACCCACATCTCATGTTCAGTTGTAATCCTCAGTACTGAAGGTGGGGCCTGGTGGGAGGTGACTGGATCGCGGGGGTGGAATTCTCATGAACGGTTTGGCACCATCCCCCTTTGGTACCATACACGGAGTGAGTTCTCATGAGATCTACTTATTATAAGTGGCAAGCACCTCTGCCTGCTCTCTTACTCCTGCTCCAACTGTGTAAGACACGCCTGCTTCCTCTTCACCTTCCGTCACAGCTGTAAGTTTCCTGAGGCCCCTCCAGAAGCTGAGCAGAAGCTTCTGTGCTTTCTGTACAGCCTGCAGAACCATGAGGCAAATGAACCACTTAAAAAAAAAATAAATGACCCAGCCTCAGGTACCTTTTTGTAGGAAGGTATGAACAGACTAATACTCATAAATCATGTTCGAATGAGTTACTGGATACTGTAGTCTATTCAACTAGCATATACAATTATCATAGCTGTTAGGACAGAAAAGGTGTGTGGCTGCTTTTACCAGCTGAAAGCAAATTCCTTCTGGTGGTCATTACTAACAGAAATTGAGGAAAAACACATTTGTCAGTCAATACCTTTATACCAGTGCCTTAGTCTATTTTCTGTTGTTTGTAATAGAATATCTGAAGTGGGATAGTTTGTAAATTTTAAAAAATTATTTTCACAGTTATGGAGACTGAGAGGTGTGAGCTCGAGGTGAATCTGGTGAGAGTCTTATCGCTGGTGGAGATTCTCTGCAGGGTTCCAGAGTGGTACAGGGCATCACACGGCGAGGGGCTAAGTGTGTTTGCATGTGTTAACTCAGGTCTCTCTTCGTCTTCTTATAAAGTCACCAGTTTCCCTTGTATGACAGCCAGGAATGGATTAATAATATTAATGGGGGCACAACCCTTCATAGTGTCATCACCTCCCAGAGGTACCACCAGTCAACACTGCCACTTCTGGGTTATGTCTCAACATGAGTTCTGGAGGGGACATTGAAATCAGAGCAACCAGGTCCCAGGAGACATATTAATTTGCTACAATAATGAAATGATTTCAAGTACAGAAATCACACTGAAGTCCCCGTCTGGCTAAGTTCACAGTACTTTACTGCCGTTCCGTAAGAGCCGTCTGTCTTCTGCGCAGTCCAGACAATCAGCTGAATGGCAGCAGGGTGGGAATCATCCTCCCTCCACTCTTCCAGTCCTTGATAGTGACACCAACAGTTTGAAGTAATTTTTTTTGCAAATGCAATATTGCTTTTTATTTCCTGTTTTCCTCGGCAGAAGCAATTCTAGTGGCTTCCATTCGGCTTTTCCTACCATAATAGCTCTTGGTCCACAGGTCAAGAGACCCTTGTGGTCAGGACCTGATGTGTCTATTCCAATAATGCATTCTGGAACTGAGGGAAACAAGCCCTGGATGGGTTTTTAGTCATCAGTTCTACAATCCCTTACATTTGGGGTCTCCTGAAATTAGTGTCAATTCGGAGCCTGTGTTTAGAAACCCCTGAGAAGTCTGATGACGTCTTTTTCCCCAGTGCAAAGCCACCCTGGTAAAAGGATGTGAGCCTCTCCGGGGGAGGATGGCAGAAAGACTGACAGTATAAATGGGTGGCAGTGTAGTGGGGTCTTTCCTCAAGAGGAACTGACCTACCTTTCATTCAAGCACTTCTGGATGTGTAAACTGGCACAGAGTGGGAACTGATTCAGGGGCCATGGCTCTGCTTTCATGATTCAGGTTCAACTTCCGTCCACTTGACCTGGAACTCCTCTGCTTATACAGATCAGATAAGGATTGAGTGGACTCCACGTCTATTTATTTGGCATCTGGGAACACCGTGATCAACAAGCCAGTGCCATGGGCCTCTGCCAGGCAGACTCTCCTGGTGGCAACTTTGACCGTGCTGTTCACTATTGCAGCCGTACCAGTTTATCTGGTTATTAAGGATTGCCACGTGGCCCTTCCATGCCCCTCCCACCACATTTATTTCCACTGCCTTTAAGGATCCCAGTTAAGTGACAGCAGTTCCCACTATGACGTCTGACCTACAGAGAAGAGTGTCCACAGAGCTCTTCCAGGGTAAAAAACTCCCTTCATACACTTATTTCTGACAGTCATGGTGAAAGATGTGTCCTTGGGCCTCCAGGGAAGGGCGGCCACCATGAATTGGTGCAGCTCTTACATGATAAATCTGCTTTATCATTTTAATCTCCTTCGGTCTTCGGATATGTTCCTTGATGGTGAACTAAGATTGTCCCGCCATTCATTTCACATAGGCCATCTTTTGTTCATATTTCAGCAACCAACCAAACTGTTAGAGCCCATTTCTAACTCTCAAGCTGTCCAGAATCTCTGCTTAGAGGGCCCATATCAATAAATTCAGTCCGAATCTACCTTTTCTTTTCTTCCACCATGACCCTACTCACTGAATATTCATTTCCATTGTTGTTCCCCTGATGCATCTGCATGCATTGGAAATGCCACAGCACAGCTCCTCCTGGATTGCATTTTTACCTCATCTTTTGGGGCCTGCTGGTACTTAAGTGTAGCTTTAGGTCTAGAAGGAAAGACGATGGTGGAGGAGGTTCTGAGACAAATCAACAATGTCTTGCAAGGCAGCTCCCTCAAGGAGGCCATTACAGGTTCTTCAGCAAAGCAGAGTTTCTGCCATCCCCAGGGACACCTTGCCCCGTGCTGCCTCAGGCTGTGCTCCTCTCCACACAACAGTCACACACCTTCACCTAGGAGAGTGGGAAGGCTGGAGCCAGGGAATTCCCTTCCACCCAGGGGTGGATGTTTCCAAGGACAACTCTTAAAGAAGAGGAGAGCCCAACAGTCCCTCTCCATCAGTGAAAGGGCTGAGACATGTGAGCTCCTGTGAGCAGGGCTGGATTGGGCTCTCTTTCAAAAAAGACCCTGCCTACTATCCTGGATGTCTGGGTCCTGGCTCCTCCAAACCCTGTTACCAGTCCTTTTTTTCTTTTTTAGAAATTCCGCTGCTGGATACATGTACAGGAAATATATGCAAGAAAAATTGCAAAATGCTATTGAAAGTGAACACAACCATACAAAATAGTCCCCAGAGAGCTTCTTTGTTTCTTTCCATCATGTGAGGACACAGTAAGAATGTCCTGTCTATGAAAATCATGTCAATAGACTCTCACCAGACACGAAATCTGCCAGCACCTTCATCCCAGACTTCTCAGGCTACAGATCTGTGAGCCACAAATCACTGCTGTTTCTGCGTCACCCAGTTTGTGGTACTTGGTTATAGCAGCTTGAATAAATGAAGACAGAGATTGGTACTGAAAAATGGGGGTGCTGCTGGGTCATTGGGTAGAGACTACAAGGGTTTTGAAGTGCATGCTAGAGAAAGCCTGTGTCACCACGAGCAGACCCTGAAGGATGATTCCGGTAAGGCCTCAGAACAAGAGGAGGAGTGCTGTAGAGAAAGCCTCCATCTCCTTAGAGGATATCTAAGTGGTCATGGACAGAACGTTACTAGAAATATGGACGATAAAAGCCGTTCTTAGGGGTCTCAAACAGAAATCAGAAATAAGGAACCTGTTATTGGAAACTGGAGAAAGGTAGTCCTTGTTGTAAAGTGGCAAAGAACTTGGCTGAATTGACTTTATGTCCTGGTGTTTTATGTAAAATAGAACTGGTGAGTAATTAAATAAGATATTTGCTGAAAACATTTCTAAGCCAAGTGTTTAAGGTACGACTTGGTACTCTTGAATGCTTGTAGTAAAATAGAACAAGAGAGAAATCATTTGAAGATAGATTTTTTTTAATCAAAAGGGAAGCAGAACTGCACAATTTGGGAAATTGCCAGTCCATGTTGCAAAATATGAGAAAGCATGTTCTGGAGAGAACACCAAGGGTGTGGCCGAGTGACCATTTGGTAAGATTAGCACAGGTCAGCCAGGTGTTGTTCATCCAGACAATGGAAAAATGACCCTGGAGGCACTTTAGAAACAGCGGGGGCTGCCACTCTCACCACTCACCCACAGTGCAAGAGGCTGGGGGATAGACTGTTTTTAAAGGATGGACTGAATTTTTCCGTAAGACCTTGGCACTCACTTCCTTGTGCTACCTCAAGGCTCTCTCCCCACATTCTGCATTCCTGCTCACTGACCACCCCAAGTAGGCTCCAGTGAGCTTAGGTGTGCCATGTGCCATGGGTGCCCCTCCAGAGGGCACAGGTAGTAAGCCTTGGTGGTGTCAACATGGGATCAGGTCTGCTGGAGTGCAGGTTGCATGAGCTGTGGGGTGTGGAAGCCTCCGCCTAGATCTCAAAGGATGGAGTGGCCCAGAACTTCAGGCACAAGACTGAAGCAGAGGGCTGCTGGAGAGCCATGGCTAGTGGAGCCAGCAGGGCAGGGCAGCCCAGGAGCCCAGTAGGATGGAGCTACCAGTGAATGATTCCAGTATGGGAGACCTGCAGGAATGCAACTCCAACTCACGAGAGCTGCACTGTGGGCTGCACCCAGCAAAGCTGTAGCAGGGGCAGAACATCCTGGAGCCCTGGGGGAACCAGCCCCTATGCCACCATGTTCAGAAGATAGAACATCCAGTCGAAGGAGATTACTCTCGAGGTACAAGGTTTAATGTTGTTTGTCACATTCCACTTGCAGTTGCCTGAAACTTTTTACTCCTTTCTTCTTTCCTGGTTCTCCTTTCTGGAATGGGAATGTTTACCCTACACCTCTCCAACCACTGTATTTTGGAAGCACGTAACATGTTTGATTTCATAGGTTTACAGCAAGAGCAGTTTGACTCAGGGTAACTGTACCCTGAATTTTATCCATATTTGACTCAGATAACATTTAAATTATACTTCGGATTACAATTTTAAAGTTGATGGTAAAATGAGCTAAGACATTTGGGGCTACTGGGGAGAAATGTATGTATTTTGTATATGAGAAGGATGTAGATTTTAGGGAAACGGAAGCAAGATAGTTTAATCTGAATTTCTGTGTCTGCTCTCCAGAATTCTTAGGCTGAAATCTAGTCACAAGGTAATGGTAATGGCAGGGCAAGTCCATTGAGGAGGGGAGGAAATGAAGGCAGTGCCCTCATGAATGGGATTGGCATCCTTTTATCAGAGGCCCCAGGGGGCTTGTCTTGCCCTCTCCCCCGATGTGAGGAAACAGCAAGGTTTTAGCTATGAACCAAGGGGTGGATCCTCGCCAGCCACAGAACCTGCTGACACCTCCATCCTACCCTTCTAAGCCTTCACAACCATAAGAAATAGATTTCTAGTGTTTGTCAACAACCCAGGCTATGGCATTTTCTTAGAGCAGCCTGAGTAGATTAACACCAAGAACTCTAGCTAGGTGTCCTCCCAACCTGGGGCAGTTCCTCTCCCTGTACTGCTGAGTCCCGCAGGGCGTCCTGGAACTACTGACCACACCTGGAATGATGGCCTAGGAATTTCCACTTTCATGGGGAAACAAAAGCTCTGATCCTCATCGGCCACCAGGAGCTGGTGGCTGTGACCTTTGCCCTGATGAAAATCCTTGGGGATAAGGACAGTCTGGCTGACACACTCTCACCCTGGGCACTTCCTCTCCCTGCACAGGAGCACTGTGGCGCAACCTTCCTGTGCCCACCCCAGGTCCTGGCACATGGCATAGCTCTGTATCAACCAGGAACGAGTGAATAAAAGGCATCCGAGTCCCTGTTGGCCCAATCCTGTCTCTCCTGTTGGCAGAAACATTTCTGGAACCACGCCCAAGCTTCTCACCCTACAAGACTCTTCCCTCTCCTCACAGCATCCTCGGGACCTTCCCCAGGGGACAGCACAGGAAGCAGAGGACCCAACGCCAGCTGCTGGAACAAGGCCTGGTCCATGGAAGACGAGGCCTGGGGCATGAGGCTGACATGATCAGCTGTAGGGACATAGGTCCCTCGAGACTCAGTTGTGTCACTCGAAACTGGGGATGTGTCAGGACAAGGGACCACAGGGGCCTTTTTACTCTACCCTGCAGCACCCTATTCCAAGGTGACAACTTTCAGAGCTCTCAGGGCATGCTCGAGCCAAGGCAGGCTGCAGGAGGGAACTTGACTCTGAGATGCTGGGATCCTGCTTACTGACTCTGACACAGTCTGCACAGAGGCGCTGACCAGGGGGAGAGGGACAGGTACATGTGAGACTAGGCAGGAAGCCAAGGGATAAAATCACAGCACCCTTGCATGGCCACACGCGGAGCCTGGAGGGATGGGGCCAAACTGCCCAGAGGACACTGCTTGCTGGAGAAGGGGCCAGGTGGGGCTGGGGACAAGGCCCTGCCAGCAAGATCGTCCCACCTGTACCGTGGCCTTGCTGCTTAACCTAGCAAGCCCAGGTCCTGGAGGCCCTCAGGAATTCCATTTGTGCTGAGGCTGGCTAGACAGAGGGGTGGCTCAGAAAGTTGTGCACATGGGAGAGAAGTGGGGTGGCCTCAGTCAGGCAGAGGGAGGCTGGTGGCCAGGCTGGGACCCTGGGTGCAGAGTCCTGAAGGTGAGGAGGGGGTACGTGCTGGGCCTCAATATGAAGCTGTAGACCATCTTTATATCCTCTTGGGTTAGTGTCTCCACTTGGAGGTGTTTCAGCACCTAGGACAGAAGCTGGGTTTCCAGCTGGCCTGGTCAGCAGCCCATGGACATGGGGCAGCCTCCTCAGACCCTCAAAATTTCAGTGATTATGCTGCAGGGGGGGCAGCCTCCTCAGACCCTCAAAGTTGCAGTGATTATGCTGCAGGGGGGGCAGCAGCCTGGGCCCCAATGTGTCCCATTCCTGACCAGCCCCGCCTTACAGCCCAGGCCTTGTCCAAGCCCCACTACCCTGTACAGGCTCTACCCAACTCCCCCAGTCCCAGCCTGAGCCTGTTTAGCAGTAACGTCGCCCAGATCTACCCTCCTCACCATACCAACTCCTGCCCAGGACCTACACAGCCTCAGTCTAGCCCAGGTTCTCCCAGTACCCGCCCTGCCCACTGCAGGACCTACAGGCCACGTCCACTCTGCCCAGGCTCATCCCACATTGCCCAAACCCCCGCCAACGACGCACAGGCCCTGCCCAGGCCCCGCCTCTGCTGCCCAGGCCCCGCCCCCGCCACGCCCCATCTGCTCACGTGGTGCAGCAGCAGCAGCATCTCCGTCTCTGCCAGGCGCCTTCCCAGGCACTGGCGTATGCCAAAGCCGAAGGGCATGTACTGGAAGTTCCTGCCAGAGCCCTTCATGTCTAGCCAGCGCTGGGGGCTATAGCGCTCAGGTCTCGGGAACAAGGCGGGGTTGTGACCCAGAGAGTAGAGGGACACACGCACCAACATCTGCGGATGGTGCAGAGCAGGGATCAGGAAAAGACTGGGGAGGGAGGTTCTCAGCTGAAGGGGTGTGGGGCTCACTCACCCCAGCGGGGATGTGGTAGTTCTGCAGCACCAAGTCTGAGCTCACCACTCGCTCCAAAAAGGGGCCCACAGGGTAGAGCCTGGAGGTAGGGGCATCCATTAAAAGAGCCCTCAGCTGGACAGGGCGTCCCGTGCCCTCTGCTGCCTTCCTACCCAAGACTCCTGAATGTGCCCAGCCCACGGGAAGCCCAGGTCGTGAGGAAGAGCTTCGTGCACCTACTGAGCCCGGCCAAACCTCCCCTAATCTGAGCAGCCCCAAGCCCAGAAGCACAGCCCCACATTAATCCCCAGGGTGTTGAAGAGGGATTCCAGAGGAAGAAGAGGTCCCTGTTCTTGAGGGAGAGGAAGAGCATGTGCAGGGGAATGGGCTGCTGGGCGTCGCTGCTTATCAGCCCCAGCTACTGTCTGCCACCCCCCAGTGGCGGCTGCTCTCCAGCAGGGGGCCGGGGCCAGAGGGAGGGCTCAGCCAGCACCCACCTCAAGCTCTCCTTGATAGCCGCCCGCAGCAGGGGCAGCTCGGTGATTGCCTTCTGGGGATGTTCACTGATGCTGGCTGCGGCGGCCAGGCTCTCCTGGCGCAGGGCCTGCTGCACGTCGGGGTTCCGAGCCAGCTCAAAGAGCGTCATCAGCAAGGGAAACACCGTCTGCAGAAGCCATGGCTGCAGAGTCACACCTTGCACAGGACTCAGCCCCCGAGACACCCCTCCCAGGACAGCCCCCTCTGTGGAGCGGGGACATGCATGCCCTGAGCACAACACTACCCTCGAACCCAAGACTTCAAATTCTAACACCCATCCAAACCCCTTTCCCTTAGTCCTCCAGGGAAAGCAACTCCTATTCCAACTGAGGCAACCTGCAAATGTGTTTATCGCATCACAGTCTCAAGTAAGAAATGTGGGGCCTGTAGCTTGGGGACGGGAATGTGGGTGCCGTGTGGCATTGCAGGGCACTGCCCGAGACACAAGCTGGGCATCGCCCTCTGTGGATGGGGCTGGTTGCCGGCCTGACCGTGTCCACACTCCCTGCGGTGAGTTCCATCGAGTTGGCCTTAATGGCATCTGGAGATAGTTCCGCATTCAACAGGAGCTTCGCCACGATGCCCGTGTAGTGTTGAGGGTGGCTGAGGGCCAGTTCCTGATAGATTTTCTGGATACAGTTATCACCTGTCCAGTGAGGGGGAGACTGCCCTCAGGCCTTGGTGCTGGGAAGCATCCTTCAGTGTCCTCCTCTTGCCCACCCTCCCCAACACCCAAGTCCCCCTGCCCTCATCCCAAATTCTCCAGATCAGTCCAGCCCCACCCTAGCCTTGCTCCCAATCTCCCTGGCAGGATGATGAGGAATTCCCAGCCCCTCCCTGTGGCCTTCATTCCCCTCTGGGCAGTGCAGAGGGAGAAATTGGGCCCTCATGGCATCCCTGCCCCGTAGTCCTGGCCAGGTCCCTGGCCTCACCATACTGGAAGATGCAGTCCCAAGCCTCAAAGTGCTCCTTCCACACCTTGGGGCTGGTCCAGCGAGACAGGCTCCTGGGCATGAACATGAGCTGGACGGTGGATTTGAGCATGACCTCCAGGGCATGGAGGAAGCTCAGGCTGGCAGAGCTGGGGCTGTGGCCAACCAGGCCCAGCCGCTCTCCAAAAAGGGCTAAGTTGCTGGCTGTGGGGAGGAGGCATTATGAGCCCAAGGCAGCCCCAGCCTCCAGGCTGCCTCCCTCCTCCTTCTAGACCCCCATCCCCGTCCCTGGCCACTCCATGGTCTCTGAGGCTGGACCTTCCCACCTGGTCCACACCTTCTATGGTGTAGTGGAAGATGCTGGATTGGATGTCCAGGGTCAGGCTGCCCTGGGTGTTCTGCAGCACCTTGTTCCTGAGGGCCTGGGAGAAGTCCCTGGCCACCGAATCCACCATCGGGAGGAACCTCTGCAGAGCCTTGGGTGACAGCACATCGGGGTTCAACCGCAATCGGTTGAAGCGCCATTCAGGCCCGTTCCTACAGAGGCCAGGGCAGAGCTTGTGATGCCGCCCGGCAAGACACAGGCCCGACCCGCATCCCATCCCCCTTGTCCCCAGATGGAATCGGCGTCCAGGGAGCTGACTGGGGGCCCTGCAGGATGCTGCCTGCTTCTGTTCCAGCTGTAGCCTTTTCTCAGAGTGGCCTGCAGGTGCTGGGCAAAGGCCACTCAGTTCTAAACAGGGGATGAGATGGTAGCTTCTGCCCACAGGTTCTGAGGGGGTAACTGAGGTCATTCCTGGGACCTGACGTCCCAAGGCTGGCACCATCTCACCCACATGGGTCCTCTCAGCGGTGAGGGGAGGGCTTTTCTCCAAGAAAGGAGGTGACACCCATTGTCAAGCTTTGCCCACCTTGCCCACACAGTGTCCTTAGGGGAGAGCCCTGCTGCCCTCTCCTCCCTGCCCTTCCCTGCCCTTGGCACAGTGCCTCTGGGGCAGCAGCCTCTGCCTATCTCTGTGAAGCATCTGCATCTTCTGCAGGGCAGGAACCAAGCTCTCTGCTTCATGCCATCCTCACCCACAGTCACAGTGATGAGGACTCCACGGATGTCCCCAGGGAATGGTGGGGAGGAAGTTCCCCTCTCAGCCACATTCCTGCAGATTTCCTTTATTTATGTCCAGCTGGCTGCTATCAGGTGTTGACAGCAATGACAGGCAGAAGACGCACATGCACATGTGTGCCCATGCAGGACCACAACAGATGTGTGTGAAGAGACACATGTACACGTGTGTGCCCATGCAGGACCACAACATACATGTGTGAAGACACATGTACACGTGTGCCAATGTAGGACCTCAACACATGTGTGTAAAGAGACATGTACGTGTGTGTGCCCATGCAGGGCCTCAACACACATGTGTGAAGAGACACATGTACACGCATGTGCCCATGCAGGACCACAACACACGTGTGTGAAGAGACATATGTACACGTGTACCCATGCAGGACCTCAATGCACGTGTGTGAAGAGACATGTACATGTGTGTGCCCATGCAGGACCTCAACATACATATGTGAAGAGACACATGTACATGTGTGCCCATGCAGGACCTCAACACGTTGCTAAGAGACACATGTACATGTGTGCCCATGCAGGAACTCAACACATGTGTGCGAAGAGACAGATGCACACATGTGTGCCCATGCACGACCTCAACACATGTGTGTGAAGCGACACATGTACACGTGTGCCCATGCAGGAACTCAACACATGTGTGTGAAGAGACACATGTACACGTGTGTGCCCATGCACGACCTCAACACACGTGTGTGAAGAGACACATGTACATGTGTGCAGACACTACACCCATGCCAGCACCTGCCAATACACACACGAAGGCATCTGTGCATGTACACACACATCACACATGCACACCACACATCACACATGCACACCACACATCACACACACATCACACACGCACACACACATCACACGTGCACACCACACATCACACATGCACACCACACATCACACATGCACACACACATCACACATGCACACCACACATCACACATCACACATGCACACCACACATCACACATGCACACCACACATCACACGTGCACACACACATCACAGATGCACACCACACACCACACGTGCACACCACATGTGCACACCACACATCACACGTGCACACCACACATCACACGTGAACACCACACATCACACGTGAACACCACACATTACACATCACACCACACACCACACATGCACACCACACATCACACATGCACACCACACATCACACATCACACCACACATCACAGATGCATACCACACATCACACATGCACACCGCACATCACACATGCACACATGCAAACGTGCACACACGCAGACATGTGCACACACGCAGACATGTGCACACAGGCAGACACGTGCACACAGGCATGCGCACACAATGCATGTGCCAATGCAGATACTGAGAAACACACAGGCATGTGCACAGATGCAAGACACACACACACAGGAGAGCTCCCCTTCCTTCCCATATGCACACCCAGCCTCTTGGACCTGCCTTCCCGGGTCCTGACTCCCTCCCAGATGTGGTCTGTAGGCCAGCGTCAGTGAAAACGCCCACCCATGGGTGCCCTTTTACCTAAACCCCACTATTCCCAAAAGAATTTCCTTCCTGCCATGGAGTGGGGGCTGTCACCACTGTGACGTCCTGGTCCAGTCCTTCCCCTGTCCTAATGGCAATGTCCCTGCAGGTGACCGACTCCAAGCACCAGCCTCTTCCTGCCCACCTGACCAGGCACCACCCTCTCCATGGCCCAGGAAACATCTCCCCAGTGCCATCAACTGCCCCACCTCATGCCTTGCTTCTGAGAGCAACGGAGCCACCAGCCACCTGTGTCCCCACCTGCCTCCTGGCCAGAACTGTCCCCATCACCAAGGTTTGCCAGGACTGCAGGAGCCAAGGGTGCCCTATGGGGAGGCTGCAGCCCTGGTGGACACCAGGCTCAGCACACACAGCCTGTGACCTGGGCCAGTGGAAGCCCCCTTCTCGATGACTCAGTTTCCTGACTGTGGAAAGAAAGTCCCCAGGCGCAAGAGAAAGCGGTCGCCAAGGTCGGTGCAGAGCAGGTTCTCCCTACACAGAAGGGCTCATTGCTCTGTGTCCTCTCCTCTGGGGAGGTGCCCGTGCCCATCTCTCCACCATTGCCCGGCTTCCCCAGCTGCAGGACAGATGTGACCCCAGGGGATGGCCGTCCTCCGAGCTGGGTGCTCACTCTCACCACCTGCCACACGGGCCCAGGGCGGACGTACATTCAGCTCCTGCCTCTCTCACTTCCCAGGCTGCCCACCCTTCCCCCAGCTCCCAGCTCCCGACTCGCCCCTCACAGCAAGAACACGCCACATTTGTGCCCACGATGTTGTCTGTAGGCCACCCAGGGCTCCAGGCTCATCCGGCGGGGGTGCAGGCTGTCCACCTGCTGCAGCCTCTCCACATCCTCCGGCAGCATCACCCACACCGTGCGTGGTCCTCCCGACTCAGACCTGTGGGGCCAAGCACAAGGCTCTGCTAGATGGGGTCATGTCCTCCCTGGCCCCACCCTGCAGTCCCCATCCAGCAGTCTGCTGTCACCCTCCCCACTCCTGGATTAGTGGCTTCACAGCTGAAGCCCTCCTGCTGGCTCCCTGGAACCTCTCTACCTTAGTGTCTCTGAGTCCTGCCCTCTCTGCAGCAAGCTGGGGTTTGCTCCACACCATTGCCTGCACTGGCAGAGCCACAGACCAGCACGTGCTGCCCTTCCTCCCTATCCTCCAAAGGATGCAGAGCCCCAGGACCAGCTGGGAATGGCAGTGCTGTGTGCTCGGCAGGGTCCTGGGCAGCAGGGGCAGGGATCTGGGTGTTCCCAGCAGGGCCAGGGAGGGCTTTACCTGAAAATGGGCCCCAGCTCCTGGAAGGTCTGGTGCAGCTCCAGGTGCAGGTGCTCATAACCCTGCTCCCTCCAGATCTGCAGCAGCCTTAGCCACCTGTTGCCTGGAAGTTGGGGCATGGCTTCAAAGGGCAGCACCGTCCTGGGGGCCTGAGCTGCTCTGGTGCCCAGTGCCCGTGCCCCTTGCAGGGACAGCCAAGGCACTGCCATGCACACCTCTGCCTTTGCCCGGAGTGCCATTCCAATGCTCCCTCCACCCTGTTCAGCCCCAGTCTTTTTATCTCACCCATGAACCTGCCCTGGAAACAGATCACGTCATGGGAGAACTGGCCCTGGACCTTCCTGGAAACCCTGGGCAGAGGTCAGGGCTGGAGGCGGGGACTGATTGTGGGTGCATGGGGGCAGGTGGACGGAAAAAGACTCTCCCTCCTCCTCTAGGGCTGAGAGGAGTCAGATGGATGGGCCCTTATCTTATCCAAGAGCCTTGGATTATTCATCTCCTTGCAAGGTTCATAGCAAAAAATGAGGGAATGAGTTGGCATTAATTAAACCACATGTATTTTTTTACTTTTTACAATTTTTATTTAATTAACTTTTAGTTGACATTTAAAATTGCATTTATCTGTCCTGTGCAACAGGATGTTTTGAAATATGTGTATAAAGTCTGAAACATAATTTCTGCAACAATCAAACTAAATCGTCCATTTATTAGCTCTGGTACGAATTGTTTCTGTTTAGGGTGCATCGTCTCCTGTCTTGGAGATTTTCAAGTACATGGTTATTAACCGTAGCCCTGACGTTGCATCCTCAGTCTCTTGACCTTTGCCCCCTGGCTAACTGAAACATTGTGTTTTTGACCGGCTGACCGATGTCTCCCAACAGCACCCCTCCATGCGCCTCTGCCTCCCTGCCCTCGACCCCTGGTAGCACCATTCCACTCCACTCTCTGCTTCTGCAGGTCTTACCTTTTTCGATTCCACAGATTTAAGTGAGATTATCTGTTGCTGGCCTGTGTGTGTGTGTGTGTGTGTGTGTGTGTGTGTGTGTGTGTGTCTGGCTTATTTCACATAACAGTTTTCCCAGGTTCATTCATGTTATCACAAATAATAGATTTTCTTCTTTTTTAAGGCTGAATTTAAGCCTTTGTTTCCAAATTTGATGTTTTCTTTATTCATGTTGTTGGACACTTAGGTTGACTCCGTATCTCGGCTATTGTGAACAGTGCTGCAGTAAACACAGGGTGCAGCATACTGATTTTATGTCCTTGGTCTGTATACACACACCATGATATGGGCGGGTCATATGGTAATTTTATGGTTAATCTTTAAGAAACTTCCATTCCATTGTCCATAATGGCTGTGATGACTTACATTCCCATCAACAGGGCTCTAGAGTCCCCTTTGTCTGCATCCTCACCAGCACCTGTCACCCTCCCTCATTTTTATAGCAGCCCCTCTAACCAGTGCCGGGTGCTATTTCATGGTGGTTTTAATCTGCATTTCTCTGATGATTACTGATGTTGAGCACCTTTTCACATACCTGTCAGCCATTCATACATCCTCTTTTGAGAAATTGGTATTTGGGTCCTTTGTCCATTTTTTAATCCAGATATTTGTTTTCTTGCTATTGAGTTCAGTGCCTTATATATTTTAGATGTTACATGCTTATCGGATATGTGATTTGTAGATATGTAGGCCCCATTTCTCTTCACTCTGTGGATTGCTTTCCTGGTTGCTCAGAAGATCTTTTTTGTTTGATGTATTTTATTTGTCTATCTTTGCTTCTGTCGCCTGCGGTTTTGTGTTAATATAAAAAAAGTTGCTAAGACCAGTGCCATGGATCCTGTCCTCCATGTTTTCTTCCAGGATTTTTACAGTTTCAGGCTTTACATTTTAGTCTTAAATTCATTTTGAGTTAATTTTTCTATATGGTGGAAAATAAGTGATATCTTGAAAATTTAAAACATGGTTTGGCTGCGAATCCCCTCCAAATCTCATGTTGGAATGTGGCCTCCAGTGTAGAATGTGGGACCTGGTGGGAGGTATTGGATCATGGGGAAGATCCCTCATGAATGGCTGAGTTCCCATGAGACCTGTTGTTCAAAAGAGTGTGGCACTCCCCCCACCACCATGCCCATTCTCATCATTTGGTACACCAGCTCCCCCTTTGCCTCCCTTCATGATTGTAAGCTTCCTCAGGCCTCACCAGAAGCCAATATGATGCCAGCGCTATGCTTCCTCTACAGCCTGAAAGGCTGTAATCAATTAAACCTCTTTTCTTTATAAATTACCCAGAAATTCCCAGTCTCAGATATTTCTTTATAGCAACGCAAGAATAGTCTAGTACAATAAGAGCTCAATTTTATTCTCTGCCTAAGGATATCCAGTTTTCTCAGCATCATGTGCTGAACAGATTGTTCTTTCCCCAGTGTATGTTCTGGGCATCTTTGTCAAAAATCAATTGACCTTACATGCGTGGATTAATTTCTGGACTCTGCATTCTTTTCCATTAATCTATGTGTTTGCTTGTATGCCAGTACCAATCTGTGTTGGTTACAATAGCTTTGTAATATATTTCAAAGTCAAGTAGTGTGATGCTCAAGTCAAGTTCATTGTTGCTCAAAATTGATTTGGTTAATTCAGGATTTTTTGTGATTCTATAAGAATTTTAGGATTTTTTCTTTTTCTTTGAAAAATGTCATTGGAATTTTAATTGGAATTGTATTAAATCTATAGATCATTTGAGGCATATGGACATTTTAACAATATTAATTCTTCCAATGGATAAATACTGCTTTCTTTACATTTTTTGTCTCCTCTTCAATTTTTTAATTTTTATTTTCATTAAATTATTCTTTATTAATTTTTGTGAATGCATAGTAGGTGTATATATTTATTGGGTATATTAGTCCATTCTCATGCTGCTATGAAGAAATTTCTGAGACTGGGTAATTTATAAAGAATACAATCATGGTGGAAGGCACCTTTTCACAGGGTGGCAGGAGAGAGAATGAGTGCAAGCAGGGGAAATACCAGACTCTTACAAAACCATCAGATCTCATGAGACTCACTCATTATCACGAGAACAGCAGGGGGGAAACTGGCCCCATGATTCAATTACCTCTACCTAGTCCTGCCCTTGACATGTAGGGATTATGGGGATTACAATTCAAGGTGATATTTGGGTGGGGACACAGAGCCAAATCATACTTCATAGGGTTTATAAAATGTTCTGGTATAGTCATGCAATGTGTAATAATCACATCATAGAGTGAGGTATCCATCTCCTCAAGCACTGATGCTTTCTGTTACAAGCAATTTAATTTGTATTAGTTCACTGTCACATTGCTGTAAAGAACTACCTGAGACTGGGTAATTTATGAAGAAAAGAAGTTTAATTGACTCACAGTTCTGTAGGCTGCACAGGAAGCTTGGCTGGAGGCCTCAGAAAACTTACAATCATGGTGGAAAGTGAAGGGGAAGAAGGCACATCTTACCATGGCAGAGCAGGAGGGAGGGAGAGAGACAGAGAGTGAAGAGGGAGGGGCTACACACTTTCAAACAACCCGATCTCGTGAGAACTCTATCACAAGACAGCACTAGGGGATGGTGCTAAACCATTAGAAACTTTCATGATCCAATCACCTTCCACCAAGTCCCTCCTCCAAAAACGATAATTTACATTTCCATCAACGGGGTACAAGAGTTCCCCTTTGTCCACATCCTCACCAACACTTTCCAATTATAGGGATTGTCAATCATGGCAACTAAAATTAGACATGAGATTTGGGTGGGGACATAGAGCCAAACCATATCATTCTGTCCCTGGCTCCTCCCAAATCTATGCACTTCTTACATTTCAAAATACAATAATCTTTTCTCAGCAGTCCTTCGAAGTCTTAACTCATTCCAGCTTTAACCCAAAAGTCCAAGTCCAAAGTCTCATCTGAGACAAGTTTCTTCCAACTATGAGCCCATAAAATCAAAAATGAATTAGTTACTTCCAAGATGTAATGGGGTGTACAGATATTGGGTAAATGCTCTCATTCCAAATGGGAGAAATTGGCCAAAACAAAGGGGCAACAGGACCCATGCAAGTCCCAAACTCAGCATGGCAGTCATTAAATCTCAAAGCTCCAAAATAATCTCCTTTGATGCCACATCTCACATCCAGGTGACACTGATGCAAGGGCTGGTCTCCCAAAGCCTTGGGCAGCTCCCCCTTTGCAGATCTAAAAGATACAGCCCCTGTTGCTGCTTTCACAAGCTGGCATCATGTGCCTATGGCTTTTCCAGGTGCATCATGCAAGTTATCAATGTATCTACCATGCTGGGGTCTGGAGGATGGTGGCCCTCTTCTCAGACCTCCACCCAGCAGTACCCCAGTGGGGACTCTGTAGGGGCCCCAACCCCACATTTTCCCTCTGCACTGCCCTAGTAAAAGTTCTCCACGAGGGCTCTGCCCCTACAGCAGAGTTCTGCCCAGACATGCAGGTGTTTCCGTACATCCTCTGAAATCTAGACGGAGGTTCCCAAACCTCAGCTCTTGCCTTCTGCACACCTACTGGGCCTCACTGATTAAAACCCAAGATTTGGGGTTTGCATCCTCTGAAGCAATGGCCTGAGAGGTACCTTGGTCCCTTTTAGTCATAGGTGGAGCTGGAGCCACTGGGATTCAGGGCACCATGTTCTGAGGTTGCACAGAGCAGTTGGGCCCTGGTCCTGGTCCACAAAGCCATTTTCTCCTTGTAGGTCTCCAGGCCTGTGATGAAAGGGACTGCCACAGAGGTCTCCAAAATGCCCTGAAGGCATTATCCCCATTGTCTTGGTGATATGGTTTGCCTGTGTCCCACCCAAACCTCATCTTGAACTGTGGTTCCCATAATCCCCATGTGTCACGGGAGGGACCAAGTGGGAGGTAAATGAATCATGGAGGCAGTTACCTCCATGCTGTTCTTGTGACAGTGAGTTCTCACAATATCTGATGGTTTTGTAAGGGGCTCCCCACCACCCTCCTTCACTCTGCACTTCTCTTTGCTGCTGCTTTGTGAAGAAGGGTGTGTTTGCTTCCCCTTCTGCCATGATTGTAAGTTTCTTGAGGCCTCCCCAGCCCTGCAGCACTGTGAGTTAATTAAACCTCTTTTCTTTATAAATTATCCAGTCTCAGGTATGTTCCTACAGCAGCGTGGGAAAGGATGAATACACTTGGCTGTTAACATTTGGCTCTCCTTTACTTATGTAAGTTTCTGCAGCCTTGAATTCCTCCCTAGAAAATGGGT